AATGTGGGCTTTTCCTAATTTGGTTTGATTTGGTCTGATTTGGATTATTCTATCAGTGGAGAGACTTACTCAGTTCAAGAAACTTTTCAAATACAAGTAGATATTATTGGCTAGGTACTAAAATTACAAACTGAAGACATTCATTCTATGCTTTCCAACAAACGTCTAATCATTTCTATTAGGTTTAACTTCAAATACATTATATTATATACTAATTAATTAATACTAATTAATTAATTAATATTAAGTATCTTTACATAAATTTTGGAGCAAGTATGCAAAAACCTATCTGAAGTGCATGGCTCACTGACTAAATGAAGAAGTATTTGTTTTATTCACTGTAATTTTCCTTTGAGACTTTTTCTTTTGTCTCAGCTAGTTGCATTCTGCTGAAGCATCTGCTACATTAGGGCCATGTTTTGAAATTTTAAATGTGGAGAAATTAAAAAGTGATGAGCTATGCCTTTCAATGGAGGCAATGTCAAGATGACACAACAACTAGGGAGTGGCAAGGTTATTGCACACAACTCTTAGATCCATGAAGAAAGAGTTCAGACACATATTGGAAATGTATAATCTGGTTTGGAAAAAGAGAATGAGCAAGTTAAGAAAAATCATTTGTACATGTCTAAGAGATTGGTGCAATTGAAAAAAAAACCTGGTGTTTCTTAATGGCTCTATGGGAAAGGTGACTTAGGGCAAAATCCAACAAAGGCTCCAAATAGTGGAAATGCATATTCATCTTAAAGAAGAGAGCCTGATCTGAGAACACTGCTGAAAAGTTTTCAAAATGACCACACAGGGAATATTTGTAGAGAACCAGTTTGTTCAGACCACTATAGTTGTGATGAGAGGGAATCAGACTAGATATTGAGCTATTAGGAGAACATGAATACATTATCCACAAGGTGCTGACTATGTGGATATATAATGTAAGAGTTATGAGATAGTGTAGCATTCCAGGAGTTGAGTTACAAGCTAGTAGTCCCTAGAAAGAGGCCTTGAGAGGCCATTCTGTGAATATGATAACTATGCTTCACTAAAGTTACCAGAATGTTGGAATTTCCAGTGCCCAGGAAATCAGTAGAGATGGTGTGAGAGCCAGACCACAGAGGGTTATGTATGTTGCCAATGGCAGAACTGGAGTCCATATGAAGCTGTCGAAATTCTCAGATGCAAATATAGAGCTGCTTGGTTTGGCATTTTCCTTCTCCTTTTTAGTCTTACTGCCATCTAGTCTTTCTTTGCTTTTCTTCTATTCCTCATTTTGGAATGGTAATACCAGTCCTGTTCCATTGTGTGTTAGATGTAGGTACATGCAACCATATGTTTAACTCATAGTCAAGAGTTAGCCTTCAGTCAAGGGAGTGGCTTCAACTGAAAACTTTCAAACAGTCTTGAAACTGATAATAAATACATGGACTTTTCAACAGGCTAAACACATTTCACTTTAGGAGACCTTTGGTGGAAATGGGAGAAAATTTATCATTTAAAGGTGATCTATTTGGCTATGAAGGTGATGAGTGATGGACTTTTGGTTAATCTTCATTATAAACTAGCCTGGATTTAAAACCACCTCTGAGACACACCACTAAGGAAGTACTTCCAGAGGTATTTCACTTAGAAAAGCAAGTGCCACCCTGGATATGTATAACACCATTCTATTGACTAAGGATAGGAACAGAATAAAAAGGAGAGAGGGGAGCTGAATATCTATGTTTATCTCTCTCTGATTCTTGATTATGGCCAAAATGTAAAAACAAACATATAAACAACAAAAAAAAACTCATTACCCTGCAACCCATTAGAATTGCATTTGTGCACTATGACTTCCTTGCTATGATGGACCATACCCTCAATCTACAAACTAAACCACACCCTTTCTTCCCAGGCTATTGGCAGATGCTTTCACACAGCAAGAGAAAAGTATCTAAAATAATCAATGGTATCCAGTAGCAGAAAGGCACAACTCTATCAGAAACAGGACAGAAGTAAAGTCATGTGCTGAGCCTAAAGTGTGAAAATGTTTGATTCACTTCAAGTGTTATGAACTCTGAATATGAAATATGGTTGCAAGAAGCATAAAGTTGCTTGTCTGACTAACTCACTATCAAGCAACTTTGCTGAGTGTGTTGCTTGAGTTACACATCTGACTTATATGATATAACATTGAAACATGTGATTAATAGTGGCTTTTCCGATTAAGAAAATATCAATACATTGGTTAGTTGACTAAATCATATCACAGCCTTGACAAATGGATTATAAGCCAATGTAGAAAAGAAATACTTTGAGTCTTGACTATTATGAGCTTTCACAGTATATTGGTTTAAATCAACAAAATGTCAATACTGTCATAACTTTTCAATGACATTGAGCAAACTGATAAAATTTTAAATTATCTTAGTTATAATTTTCCCATAAGAGAATATATATATATATATATATATATATATTATTCTAGTCATTAAAAATAATATCTATAAAAGGGCATACTAAGAAACACGTGAACATTTTGATTGTCAGCTGAAGGAAATAGAGTTCCTTTCTTATTGTGTTATGATTTCAAGGATAATGTTAGTTTGAGGCCTGTGTAAGTTGTCTGTTTGACTTATATGCCAAGATTTTCTTTTATTCTTTAAGCTAAAAGAATTAATAGCAAAAGAACAATGCTGGGAATCATTTTTAATAGGTTGTAATAGAGTGTCTTTAGTACTGTGAAAGCAGTGTGGTATTAACTTCCTTTTATCAATGTGGAAAGCATGATAGAGATGAACATCATATGCAAAACCCTCAGATAAAGAACCTTTTCCTCAGAATTGGATGATGTCGTACATTGCTTCTTACACGCCAAATGTTCTTCACAGTGAGAGAAAATGATGGAATTACTTCAACCCCCAGGGTATATGGAGGCATTCTAATTTCTTACCAAGATATTGCTCATTTTGTGTCATGCTGTCCTCACATTGAGAAGAAGATTGAATTTGGAATCAGATGGCTTAAAAATAATGCCCCATTTTAATGAAATAGGAGCCTTCTAGGTATAACAGAGAAGTTCATCTATTGAAAACAAAGATCTAAAGTTAGGAGATAAATTTTCTTTCCTCATTTCAAGTAATAAAATGAAACAACATGATCATTGCTGATTTTGGTGTTTCTAATTATTGAAACATCTGGCATTTTCTTCTTTTATTAGGAAGATGTAACTTTCTCTATAATGAGATTATTTATATACTACAGCACTGCTAAAGTATTTTCCTAAATGTAGTGATGCTGTGACTTTGATCAAATAACATTTAATAGTTTGAAATATTGTTATTCCATGTATTTTAATGTATAATTATAAAATAAATATTGATGTAAGTTATTTAATGCAATAAAGCTATTACGTTATTCCTCCAGAAATGACCCTAGTAGGACTACTACCTACCAAACAGTGGGAACTAACATTACCTCCAGAAAATTTGGAATGCATAGAAAGATTTCTAATCATAATGGATTTCTAATTAGTGGGTAAATGAAGCTTTCTCAGTTATATTATTTTTAACAAAACTATAACTTGCTTCCTAACCAAAATACTTTACTGTTCTCAGAATAATTTTATCTAAGAATATGAACCTAGTTTAAAGTAAATGACTAAAATACCCCCCCAAATTATTCATTTCATCATCCCTAACAATTTGGAGAATGGAAATCTAAAACAATTTTGAAATGTTGTCTTACCCCAGTCATAATGGCAGGGATGAATATGGCAAACTTTTGCTTCAGGAAAAAAAAAACATTGGATATTTTATCAGTAGATATCTTGAAATATTCAAGAATTAATAGCTAAAACAAAGAGAAATGTATAAATTAAATGTAAATAATGTAACAAAGTCATAATGATTTATGGTAGTTTAATGTATTGAATTGTAATGTAAATATCTGATATTTAGTATATATAATATATGACCCACAGGCTGAGAACAGGCGCTGTACAGGAACATGGACTTTATTTCTAGCTGCTTTTAAAAATTCAATTTTTTATTATTTGTTTAAGTAAATTTAACTATACTGTGTTGTTTTTATTTGTATTTATTTGCTTGATATTTGTCAAGTTTTGTGTTCTATAAGATTCTTCTTTCTGTGATTAGATATATTTCATTAGTTGTAGAAATATCTTCACTATTACCTGAGCCATTTCTTCTATCACATACTCTTCCTTCTAACTCTGTCCATTTAATTATTTCTGTATTAGTCTTTTTGGAGATGATGCATAGGTTTTTTTGAATTCTTTGCTTTCTCCATTTTCCCTAGTTTTCTCTCTTTGCTCAGAGACTACCTTTCCTCAATGTCTGAGCCCTCTATAGTTCAGAACTCAATATATTCTCCCAAATTTTTGTTAGTGATAAAATCATTTCACTTTTTTAACCAGTTCTCTGAATGGAGAGTGGCACAATATTCATCTCTTTTCTAAATACCTGTGTCAAGTTGACACAGCCTAGAGGCACCTGAGAGAGAAGTCTCAATTGACGGATTGCCTGAATTAGATTGAACTATGGGCACGACTGTGGGAGTTATCTTGACTATTAATTTGATATAGAAGGGCCCAGCTCATGGTGGGCTGAGTCTGTAACCTGGACAGGTGATCCCAAATCTATAGATGAAGGCCAGCTTAAGCATAAGCCAGCAAATGAACCAGCAAGCAATGTTTGATGACCTAGTAAGTATCAGAGAAGTTTAAACAGTGAATATCATAAGTAACATATAATTGTAATACCACATTCCATTGAATAATGACTAATTAGTAACAGATGTTATCTGGTTAATAAATTCTGAAAACTATATATACATAATTTTATGCTTGTGTAATTTTAAGTAAATTTCCCACGTTGAAGTTAAAGATTGCTTTTATGCCTAACCAGTACTTCCACTCTGATCTTGCCCACTGTGTTGATTTATTTTACTGTCTGATGATGGCTTCTTGCATACTAAGCTAATCATGTTCTCTTTGAATGTAGGATTTGATACCAGTATTTTGCCAATTTGCAAGGATTCACTTGGCTGGATGTTTAATAGACTCGATACAAACTACGACCTGCTATTGGACCAGTCAGAGCTTGGGAGCATATATCTTGATAAGAATGAAGAGTGCACAAAGGCATTCTTCAATTCTTGTGACTCATACAAGGACAGTTTGATATCTAACAATGAATGGTGCTACTGCTTCCAGAGACAGCAAGGTAAAAGTGAAGTTACTATGGTGGAATTACTTGACATGCATTTCAAAATTCATCTTTTCCCTCATAATAAAAAATACTAACATTATCCAATGCTTCACTTATTATAGTATTTTTCTAATTTGAATTTTTAATGAAAGAACAAGTAAGCACCATATTGAACAAAATAATTGTGCTAAAGATACAAATATTCTAAATAATATTGGAATAGTAATTAATATTTTATATTAATGTATTTCATTATAGTTCCTATTATGAACAAGCAAGAAGCACACAGAGATATGAGAACACAGATATTAAAAGTAATCATTGAAATTAATTTGCTATCTGCTTTGCCCACAGTGTAAAATAAATGGGTTTTTTATCATTATACTGTGGGGTTTTAATGTTCCATTTTGTGATCTTATTAAACTAGTTGCATGAACATCGGCATCCACTGTAAAGTTATTTTTATTCATTTTATTTTCAAAATTACTTAGTCTTTCAGTCTTTCCCAAATAGTGTAGTTCATTAAAAATTCACTAGTGAGAGAGTATTCCTAACTTTTGCAAGAAGTGAGACCAAAGGAAGAGCACCAATGTTCTTTGTATACCCATTAAAATAAATTATAGATTTTTAATTAAAATATAATTGCATCACATTCCCTTTTCTCTTTCTTCTGTTTAGTTCCTCCCAGGTACACCACCCCTCCAGCCCCTCCAAAATTAACTGCAATAAAAATGCACTTTAAATTTAGAACCATACATCCAGAATCAATTCAATCATGTTATACATTAAATACATGAGGAGAAACACACATAAAAGTCCTCAAGCTATAGTAAATATTTGGCAAAATAAGGGATCATTGTTATGTTGCTGCTAACTGAATCAACTGGAAACAAAGTGCAGCTAGTAATGACTGTACTTTTTAAACTTGGTGAAATGTAAAAGATATTTAAAATATAACAATTGCTACCATACTTCATATGGAATTATAAGTATTTCTTTGTTACTTTTAACAATAATTCAGAAATTAGAGAAAAAATATCTACACATTGACAAGAAGTAAATCAACCATAAGTTTAGCTACAGAGGAGGTCTTAACTATCGGTAAACCAATTTAAGTAACAAGAATCTGGATCAGTGAGCAAGTTGAGAGGATCTGGGAGGAGCTGGGAGAAGGGAAGCCACAGTCAGAATATGTTTTCTTAAAAAATATTTTCAGCAATAAAGAAAAAGCAACAAAATTATTTTTGATTTACTTCATTCAATATTTTAAATTGCACACACTTGTGAATACACATCATTGGGCTGATTACATAAACAATCAATGTAAGTAAACACTTCCTAAAATGACATTCTAGTTATTAATAACTAGTGCACTTCAAATTCTAAGTACACTGAGCAAATTAAAGTATATTATCATTAAAATGCAATTTTTCGTGCTTTTCTGTATATTAACAGTAGCTATTTTGGTTTTGTTGTTTATTATAATATTCATGTTTATTCATGAGCATTGAAATATGTGTAGTTGTGAATCCACATGTAAAATCTACAAAGTTGAATTCATTGAGTATGAGGATGCAAGGTGTTTATGACAGTTTAAAAGTTGGGAAAGGATTTGAATTGAAATGATTAACAATTTAATTTGAAAAATTATTTTAAAAATAGTTTTTACAAAACATTCAAATGACACATACATACACACAAACATTGAAATGTAGCAGGGATTTCAGGTGTATATCAGTATAAATGTCATCTTTTATTTAGGGAAATAAAAGAAATCCACTTCTCACTGACATCACTTTAAAGAACTGTTTTAATAAGATTTGAAAGCTAGGGTAATGTCAGTGTCAGTAAGATAATGAGACTAAAATTTTTATTTGAAATGTCATTGTATCTTGATTTAAATTCTTTATTTTAGGGAAAAGCTATATCACACCAATTTAAAGATAAATTACCACAATGAAGTAGTTATTAAGCATTTGAAAACAAATTACTTTTTTATTTACTTAATACACAATATTTTTGGCCTCACAAATTGAACTAGATAATAAACAGCTTAAGCACATAATTTTTATTTCTACTATACTTTATAATGATTCAATTATTTTCAGGTGGCATAATAAACAACTTCAAAATTAATTGGATTATAATGTATATGTTACCTTTTATTCTGAGAGTACATAGTGAACAAGAATAAGAATTAGTTTGATATTTTAGTGTCCTGTGACAGCTATAATACTTTTCATTCTGTATCAAAGTCAAGAATGAGAATTGTTCATTTGTTCTGGTAACATTCCCTTAACTCTTGAACAAGTATGTTAAATTTCGATAATACCTACTGTATTATAACTATTTAGACTATTCCATTTATCAAAACATACATGGGTTCATTTAAATCACCGATTGTTAATACAACAGACAAAATATATACTTACAAATTGACTTGATTTATCTAAGATTTTTTGAATTATGACTTATGACAGTTTATGTTATATTTTCTTTTTAAACAATTTATAAATTTGAAGGCTGTGCAGAAACTAAAGACTAAGGTATGACAGTAACATTATACAACAAAACAGATAAATGTCCACTATAACTGGAAAAAAGAAGATCCTTTTCATAAATATTGTAGAGTGAAAAATGATTTCTCTGTTATCCTATGACATATGTTAAATGAAAGCTAGGTGAATTAGATTTTGGTCACAAATTAGTTGGATCTAGACCTTTTAAATGTAAAAAGTAAGTGTATTCCCTCTTTTATATCTATGTAGTTTTTATTCTCTATGAAATTTCAGTCATTCTAACAAATATCAGAAAAATCTATAATTGCTACCACTTGGTAAATCATTGCACTCCATCATGTATCTGTACATTGATATTTCTGTGCACATATTTATCATGATATATCCACACATATATTCCATGTGATAGCATGACAACAAATGGATAGCATGCATCTTTTCATAAAATGAGAAGTCTCACTTGCAGTTGATAGCTTATCAGGTGCACATTGCTTGCTTAAATAAATTCTTGAAGTATTGGGTTTAATGTCTTTACAGACCCACCTTGCCAGACAGAGCTCAGCAACCTTCAGAAGCGACAAGGGATAAAGAAGTTCCTAGGTGAGTCACAGATCATTCTTCTGGAAGCTTTATTGCTTATATAAATAACCACAGGGAAACAGCAACACAAAATCAATATTAATCAAACAAAGACATACTACATTAAATTTCATCAGCAAAATTTATGAACTTTTGGAAAGTCATTGAACTTACTCTTATTTCCTCACGTTAAGAAAGCTATAATTTCTTTTTTATTACTCTAATATTGTGTTCATTTTGAAAGTTAAGTACAAAAGATATTTAAGCAATACAAAATTTAAGAATCACTAGAAATGTCTCTTTCTGCAGTTAAATGTTTAAAATTGATGACATCATATGTGATCATTCATATGAAATGTAAGTAGGTGATTACATATATGGAGTGTAAAGGACACTAATTTAGAAATCTGAGCAGTGCTTTTAGTGATTCTCCTTAGTAAATTTCCAACTGTATCTTTCAGTAAGTAAATTTTGATACATAACTAAGTGGGTAAATTGATTATAGGTAGATAAAAGAGAGAGAAGATAATTGAACATTTTAGCCAAAGTCATAAAATATTTGAATATTTAGCTATCAATATATCACAATGCCATTATATTTCCTTATAATATATATATGCATTATTGATAAATTATATTTGAATCCATTTTATATTGGAAATGTTTGTAACATAGAGGATATATGCTGTAAATCCTTCAACCATCTCTTTCCATTCTGTTCTTTACATGCTGCAAATCATTATAGCTTATTTGTAAAAGCAAATAAATTATTATTGCTACAATACAACTTTATTTGACAAGTTCTGCCCCAGTTTACATTTTAGCATCATAAGAGCATGTTTGTATTTTGACATTAGGCAGTACATTGTGAGTGTATGTTGAATCATTCATATTTTATGACTGTGCAATGTCTCTCAATTTGATTAATACACACTATTTTATATGGTATATATGCAATTTAAATATAGTAACTTTAAATTAGAACAGTTTTATATTGCGAAGGAATTCTTAACCTAGCCCTCATCATTCAGTTAAATGGTTTGTCATAAAATGCTTTAGATGAAAAACTGATGATTATAAAAACTAAGGGGGTAATTTTCTTTTAAACTGTGGACAGCTGCTTGTGGTGGTATAAATCATGAGTCAAAATAACATACAGATGCAAGAGCATGTTTCTGCAATCCAGTGTTTCACAGCGTACCCTGAAGAAAACCATTAACTTCAAATAAATATTTTAGAGGTGATCTAGGTCAAGAAATACTGAAATCTATTAGAATGTTGGCTTTTCTTGTCTGAACTTATTAAAAAGTCACATTTAGTGAGCACCAGAGAAGATTTTCCTTACTCTTCTTTCATGATATAAAAAAGTAGGTATTAGAACTGGATACCTGTTCTCTCTGATTAGGATGAGGTCATGATGCATTTCTCAATTGGCCAGGTACTCTATCAGGTAAGGCATCATGCATTCCAATGTGAAGATCAGTTTGCATTCACTCTACAGGGCATGATCTATACTTACCATTGCCCTTTTCTAAGTTTTCTGGCATAAGAAAATGATTGCAACATCATCATATTTTAAATACAAAGTTTTTTTCTTGTATTTAATTTCCTTAAGACCGTAGAAAAATTAACAAATTTCCACATTGGTAAATTTGCCCATGTCAGTTCACATATTTCAATTGAATATTATTTGTATCAAATGTATGATGTATTCATTAGACTTATGAAGCTTTTTAGGATGTAAAATTATAATCCCACAGGAGATACTAGAAAATGACATTCATATTTTCTTTATATGTTAGATAATTTTTAACAAAAAATCTATGGTGAGTCTGTTCAAATAAAAGAATAAGTGGGAAGAGAAGAAATCATCTAGAAGTTGTAGGTAACATTGGATTATTTGTAGAAGAATTTCCTAAGCTTATAGAGAATTAAACATTTATCATTACACATGTACTGTGTAATAGCAATGGCTATTTTCCAACTACTTTTGACTCCACTTTCAGTCTAAGGTTTGTGGTTGGTATATCCAAGAGACCCTAAATATTTTCAAACAGAGAAGATACCACAGAATATTGGTACCAATATATAATGTCAATACACACAGAGGCATTAACATGCACACATATGCACATGAACAATAACAGAGACAGAGAAGAGGGTACTGAGATTCATACTTTTGTATTTAAACCTTAAAATGAAAAGTGCAGGAATGGAGAAGTATTTCAGCTGACATAAGCAAAGTGACACTCTGTTAGTGAGAAAAAGCTTGACATACAATAATTTTTTGTTATGTTGAATGAAAAATGGTGGAAAACAACAGAAAATTGTCAATAATAAGACAAGAGGGGGTCTTGGATGTCATACAAAATGTTCTGAGTGATTTAATATAAACATAGAACCAGTCATGTTTTGATTCTTTAGGATACTAATATATAATGACCACCTAAAAGAGAATACAGCTTATTTATAAACTTCTTTATATTTGTGTGTGTGACCAATTATTTTACAGGACAGTATGTCCCTCTTTGTGATGAAGATGGTTACTACAAGCCAACACAATGCCACGGAAGTGTAGGGCAGTGCTGGTGTGTTGACAGATATGGAAATGAAGTCATAGGATCCAGAAGAAATGGTGTTGCAGATTGTGGTAAGAGAAAGGCTTACTTCATACAATTTCCTAAAACACAATTTATATGTCAAAGGCTCACAAACTTGTTCAAGCAATTAGTGAAGACCTCCCCTATTCTGATTTTCAAATATGTACAATATATATGAATGTTACAGGTGAAAAGAAGTCTTGTTCCTTGCATATTGTAAACTGTGGTAACAATAAAAATATATCAAAAGACCCATTAAAGTATGTTGAAGAGAATAATTTAAAATCCTGCTTTAAGATGTCTGTCACAAAAAAGCAGAAATCATTCATTCTAGTCTAAGTCAGAAAATTGTAGGTGCCTAGACTGTCTCATACAAATAAAGAAGGCATTATCAGTAATTTTAATCTAAGTCTGCAAAACAGTGCATACTGTTTGCAGATGCATGTGGAGGTGTTGTATGCTCTACGCTGGAGAAAGTGATTTGAGTAATATGGCCCACATCGGCCAAAACAAATGAAGCCAACCCAAGCAAAACACAATTTTAACTTTATGAAAATCTGATAAATTAGACTAATGCACTACTTGTTTCCTTATGTTTAGGTATGAAAGACATCATTTGTATATAAAATGATAGCTATAGTTGATGCTCTAAATTATTTTATGAACATGTATTTTATGTGTGTATCAGGTTTGTAGAAGAACTTGGCATTACATGTATTTTACAGTTTCCAATATTATCAATTTTTCCAGAAAGTAATATTCAAATCAGTGTTGGTGTTTTTTTTAAACAATTAACTATTTAAAAAAAACCTTCTTATTAGAGTACCCTACAAACTCCTATGATGGTTTTTGCAGACCTGTCAGTCTTATAGGATTAAACATTTGGTCCTCAAATTATGATGATATGTGGGAGGTTATGGAACCTATAGAATGTGGAATGTAACGGACATTGAAAATTAGGACACAGCCCTGCTTCAGTGTGGATTTCTACTTCCTGGTTTCACATTTAAGATACATCTTCCATGACTTCAAAGCCTATTTTCCATTGTTCCAGCTGTTCTCTTCACTCCAGCCTCCATTTTTTCCCTGCCATGATGGATCATACCCTCTAAATTTAGCTCCAATTAAACTTTACTCCATTTCCTCATATTTGTTAGGTATTTGGACATGGCAAAGAGAGAAGTAATGACTTAAAACTATGTCTTCATGGAGATCAAATAGGTTTTATTTTCATTACTATCAATTAAAATGATGAAAATTAAATACTCAGTGATAACATGTCTCTCTTATGCAATTTTTAGACTGATAAACAAGGGTTGTTTAAAAAGAAACAAATCATAAATAATAAGTAATCTTACATAATTGTCCCTTCCTGCCTTGTATTGATTTATTCCATAACATTTTCAGAGCTTGATTTGGTTTGGGGACCTATATGATCAAAGCAACATCTAGGATTTTACATTAACAGGCATGCATGGTTTTAGAGGAGGAGAGAACCACACCGAGCTCCAAAGCAAACTTTAATTTTTAACTGTACTAGATTACAAAAAGTTCACTGGCATTATAGGTTTTTAGAGGACAGCAGAATCAAACATTTGTGAAATTTATAAAATTTTATTCTGTTAGATAATCTACTATTTTTCTTAAGACACTACATTGTGTATCCCATAAAATTATATGTTGAAAGTATGTGATCACTTTTTGATTTTTTTACTTTATATGGAGTTACAGTTAAAAGATTACATTACTCTCAGAAGAGACTTTGAAATTTGGACTACTAAACATTGTTAAGACTGTGGTAGACTACAAAAAAATTTGATGGTGGACTGAATATATTTTGCATTATGTTATTTCTACATGCCTTTGGGAGCCAGGGAATGGAATGTGGCTGTTTGAAGGGAATGACATTAATAGGGGATGTTATTTTGCTGGAGTATGTGTGGTCTTGTTGAAGGAAGAGTGTAACAGTGGAGGCATGCTTTGAGCGTTCATATATGCTCAAATTATTACCCATTGTCTTAGATCACTTCCTATTGCTTCCTCACTATGCAAGACACTCAACTCCTGAGCCATGTCTGCCATCACTCTACGATATTACAAGCCATCGTGCCCCTCCCCCATGTTGATAACAGACTAAATTTCTGAAAATGTAAACTTTTACCTCAATTAAATATTTTCATTTATAAGAGTAGTAGGGGGCAAGTTGTCTCTGCATGCAATAGAAATTACGTTTTTCCTATATTTTATTTAAATTAGAAACAAGCTTATTTTACATGTCAATTCCATTTCACTCTCCCTCACCTCCTCCACTGCCCCATACCAACCCCCTATCTCAACCCCTTTCTGCTTTCCAGTGAGGGTGAGGCCTTCCATGAGGGATCTTCAAAGTCTGTCATATCATTTGGATCAGGGCATATGCCCTCCCTTGTGTGTCAAGGCTGAGAGAGTATCCCTCTATGTGTAATGGGCTCTCTCAAAGTCCATTTTATGCTAGGGATAAATAGTGATCTACTATCAGAGGCCCCACAGGTTACCGAGGCCTCCTCACTGACACCCACATTCAGGGGGTCTGGAACAGTCCTATGCTGGTTTCCCAGCTATTAGTCAGGAGTCCATGAGCTCCCTCTTGTTCAGGTCATTTGTTTCTGTGGGTTTCACCAGCCTGACCCTTTTGACCCTTTTGCTCATCACTCCTCCTTATGTGCAATTGGATTCCAGGAGTTCAGTTCAGTGTTTAGCTGTGGGTTTCTGCTTCTGTTTCCATAAGCTACTGGATGAAGGCTCTAGGATGGTATAAAAGGTAGTCATCCATCTCATTATAGGAGAAGGGCATTTAAGGTAGCCTCTCCACTGTTGCTTAGATTGTTAGTTGGTGTTGTCACTGTAGAGCTCTGGCAATTTTCCTAGTGCCAGAATTCTCTTTAAACCTATAATGGCTCCCTCTATTATGGTGTCTCTTATCTTGCTCTCCTCTATTCTTCCTCTAACTCAACCTTCCTGGCTTAGTGGTTAAGGGCACTAGTTGCTCTTTCAGAGGACCTGGGATCAATACCCAGCTCCCACATGGCAGCTCACCACTGTCTGTAATTCCAGTTCCAGGGGAACTGACACCCATGGCAAAAAATAAAAAAAATAGAATTGTCTCATGTTCTTTGTATTATGTACCCTTCTGCCCAATTTTAACACAAAAACTTTGGAACATTTTGAACATTCTTTTATAATTACACCTCTAAATTACCACTTTTTAGGGAAAATGTGATTAAATAGAACCAATTACTAGTGATATTGCCTAGGATAGTCTCTTGTCATAAGGTCACTAGCTGAATCATATTTATAAAGTTGTCCTTTAGTATCAGGTAATAAACCTTTTTTTAATTTAGGAAATATATATTTTGCTATGATAATTGTTTCACCTCATTTACATATAGGAGACATTTTAAGTACTATGAAAATCCTTAGGCTGTCATGGAATTATACAAAACTTGGGCTGAGATCAAATTTACAAAAGCAAAAATCTTACACAGCACAGTGCTTTGAGCATAAACATTTCAACAAGTGAGAGTTCTAACATACAACAGTCTTTCCAAAAATAGATTTTTTCTTATCTTCATTGAGAGAAACAGAAAATACAAATTCATTAAACCTTTCAATGTTTTTATTCATTTATATAACTCAGAATGTGTGTCATTACTTAGTCAAGTAATGTTGCTTGCTTTTGCAGCTACAGATTTTGAAATCTCTGGAGATTTTGCAAGTGGAGATTTCCGTGAATGGACTGATGATGAAGGTGAAGAAGATGACATTATGAATGATAAGGATGATATTGAAGATGATGATGAAGATGAAGGGGATGATGATGATGATGGAGATGACCATGATGGATATATTTGATCAGTGACAGCTGAAGTCAACAATTCTACATTTTTAATATTTACAAAATAATAGCATATTGAGAATTTCCTTCTTATCCCTTAACAAAGTGATTCTAAACCCCACATATATTTTGTATAATTATTTCAAATATTGAAGCTAAATTCATAGAACATTATGTTAAATAAGAATTATTTAATTTTGGTTTTATATGCCTTAGAAAAAAAGAAAACACATATGGGTTGTAGCCTGAATATAGAAAGTTGTAAAGACTATTATAACAAACTTTTCATAAGAACATACTATCTAATTGTTCTATAAACAAAATAACAATAAATGTGTGCTTGGGATCATATGTGTTACTTTTATGTGAGATTTTATAAGTTAAATTTATAGTAACTGACTAATGACCTAAACCACAGGATTTTGTCAATTAATGCATGATATTAACTTCAATTCAAATTGGGCCTCTACCCAAAATTATTTTTTGGGAAAGTAAGAAAGATGACTCATTGTAAGACAAAGTGACCAACCACTACTGAGTACTTATTTAGTGGTGATCTCTATAACTATGAAATTATTCTGGGTATGATTAGATATTTTTTTGCAATGCAAGGTATGGAAAACCAAGGATTCTGAAAGTTAAAATTTAGTTTTTCTTCCTACTTTTTAACTTAAATTGCATTGTGTATCATGTGAATTTTTAACAAAATTTTTAAGCAGCATCATTTCTAGATTTTTCTATCTGTCCAGCAATCTGGATAAAGAATTTTATTTAGAAATAAAAAACAATTCATTCTAGCCACTTTTGCATTAAATATATTTTGTTTTACCCAAGATCAAATTTGAAATTGTGAATTCTCATTTTTTATTTAATATAATATTTTATGTTTAATCTTGAAATCATGTCATTTTTGTTAGTAGTAATGAAATTAGAGAATGTGATGTATGGTGCCTTGCAAAAATAGAAATAGAAAGGGTTGGCATGCATAACAGTATAGGATACTAGGAAATATTTAAGCACACATAATTAACAAAATATTGCTATTGAAGATACTGCTGGAATAGAGAATATGGAATATGTTTCTTTCTTTTTTTCTATTGTTACATAATCCCATATGGACTTGTTTATAATTATTGTATAGAGTAGCATTTAAGATTTAATTGTAACAAAAATTACTTTGTTCACTATACATCAGTTAGCATGTTAATTCATTGTGCAGACATTTTGACATGTCACCTCTTTTGAGTATATCAGACCAATAGTTTTGTGCTCATAATAGAAATGGGAAAACTGGTGAATTTTACACATTGGTATCTTTCACTTCAACAGTGAATTACAAATTTCCTGGAATATTATTCATAAAACACAAATTTGGTGAACTTGTTCCATTTAATCTCTACACACTAAATAAAACCTTTAATGTTGACCTTACATAATATTTAATCTATAATGCATTTTCCTTTTTACTGTTTATGTATAGTTTACAAAATAAAGAATCTTGTAACCAAAGTAAGCAGTTCCTTAATGGTTTTCTGAGACACATAGTAACATGGAGAATTTTTAGTTTGTTTCATAATTCTGGAAAATAACATACCACAACAACCAAGCCAAGAAATGTTTTTTGAGTTTACTTTTTCAGTTTCTAAACCAGAGTTATTAGTGTCTTCAGTATAGTTAAGATTAATTTTGGTTTTTGGTTTATCTTAATCTGATCATTTGTTAAAATATTACAAAATAAATAATTTTCCCAAAGGAATAGCATTTAAAATTTTATTTTGTTGACATATTTCTTAAAACATTTAGCTAAAGTTCTATAATAAGACTGTAATTAAAGAATGGATTTATATCTTTCTCTATTGAAACAATGTGTAGAAATCATAAAATTTAACTTGATGTTATCAGGAAAGACTATGCAGCAAATTATATACAGATATATAGGCTAAAACCATGTTCATGAAGTTAAGCTTTTTTTCTATTGTGTCACCATTCAGATTTTCATGAAAGCAACTAATTTAACAGTGAATTCAAATAGGGGAACAGTACCATATTGAGTATACAGTTTAATGGTATAGTATTTTCTTGGGAATGAAAGATTGTATGTTCAATTTCCAGCACAACAAAATAACCAAGATTAACAAATGTTACATAATGTTAATTATAGGCAGTAAATATTCTTTAATATATGTGTTTGTACAGTTTAATTTATGCCAGGTATTAAGTGCCTTGACAAACATGTAATTTATATTGTATCTGTTAACTCAGTATATTCATACTACCTGGACATTTATTCCCAAGACTGAAGTATTGGATATTTTTATTATACCAGTTACTATTCTATTACTGTTGTGTTTTCTAATATAGTGCAACAACAGTTGTATTTTACAGATTTAAGGAATGAAGAAAATTTGAACTTCAATAGGATTCCTTCATTCCAATTCATAGACTTAGAGAAACATACTTAAGTAGAAGGTAAAATTAACCTAATGTTTTACTCTTCTTTAAGCTGAACTCTGATTCATGGGCAAGAAATCAAAATAAGATATTTTAATATCTATTTTCATAGTATTATTTTTTTCAATACACAGCAGATCAAAAACAATGTGACATTTTATATTATAATCAGTCAAATACTAAACATTAAAGAAAAAACATAAGAAACATTCAAGAAAATATTCAGTGTTTCCAGTACATCATAAGGGTGATGTTGTAGAATTTGGGGAACCCCCTTGGAGGGCCCTACCCTCTATGGGAAGTGGAGGAGGAGAGGGGAGGGGACTGGTGGGGGTTTGAGGGGCAGAGGGAGAAGGGATTGACACGTGAAATTATAATTTTGTAAAAATTAAATTTAAAAAATCATGATTAATTAATAAAGTGAATACTAGGAAACTTGTTCCTTACATCCATTTCACAGTATTTCTCACAAAGGTAAAGATGTTAATACAACTCTTGAGTGTTGCTTGATTTGTTCTGCTGATAGAATAATCAGAGGGAGCAACTTTAGAGAATAGCATAAACGAACTCATCCTATGTAACAAATGTTTGAAGACTTCTTTCTTATAAAATGAATACATCCTCAGCTGCCTGTAATTAATAGGATTCTCTACACAGATGACTTTTCAAGATAGCGGATATTCATGGGAAATGTATAAACAAAGCAAACCAGAGCCATGGTTATTTAAATGTTCATTTTGCCTGATCGAAGCATGTATGTATATTTCAACACACTGAGAATAAGCAACTGTGACTGCTTTACCTTAGATGGGACATTGATAACATCACTTTGTCTGGACCTGCAGGACATCAACCTGGGGCAGGAGAGTCAGGGGTAGGGAATGAGGACAAGAGACACAGAAAGAACAACCACAAGACAGAATTCTGATCAAGTGGCAAACTTTATTTTTTTCTCAGGCTACCTTCTATAGTCAGTAGAGCAGGATATGGGGAGGGGTAGAATGGGTTGTTTGTGCATCAGGTGTTAGTGCAGGCAGGATACTAGGAAGACACAAAGAGAGGATGTTTGGCAGGGTAAAGAGGTCATGAGTGGGTTGCCTAGGTGACTGAGCCTGTGGGTGGAGGACTGGATCAAGTTGTTTCTTTTCTTGAGCTGAGGTTCTAAGGAGATATTATGTAAAGGTTAATATAAATTGTATGGCCAGCCAAGAATGGCCTAGGATCTCATGCCAAACACTGAGATCTTTGGCTCCCAACAACACCTCCTCACAAGACTCAGGGAATATCAAAGTGAGCAGGGAAAATATAAGAATTGGAGGTCAAGGAAGGAGTGTTGAGAAATACTATCTTCAAAAAAGATATGGCTGTTTCGCATAGGGACTCACAGCAAATATTGTTATCTGCACAAGACCTATACAATTTTAAGCCAGTTCTCAATCCCAGCATGGAGGTCAGAGGAGGTACTGAGTTCCCCTGTCCAGGAAAGGAACTTTTACTTGATAATGGCTGCTGAGTGTTGCAAGTCTTTCTCTGTCCTGCCAGCCAACTACTAAATCACAACATGGGAACTTATTATTAACTATGAAAGCTCAGCCAATAGATAAGCCTTATTTCTAACTAGTTCTTATAACTAAAATCAAGCCATTTCAATTAGTTTTTGTGCTGCCATGTGTCTCACAACTTGTCATCTCCTACATGTCATGTTTTCTCCTAGTCTCCTCACAAATCTCCACCCTTCTTCCCATCATCTTCTGTGCCTGGAAATCCTCTCTAGCTATTAGCCTTTCAGGTTTTTATTAAACCAGTATACTAAATGATTATTCCACAACAGCAGTGGGAGAGAGAATTGCTTTGGTTTGGGTTTAGTCATTGGTAAGTTACCCATGCCTCACTTGATGACACCATACCATGGATATAATGACAATGCTAATTAAACACAATGGGTGAAAAGCAACAAAATGGGGGAAGAACCTGAAATTGAAAGGGGGGTGTATTGAAGGGCTGAGGACAGTTGAAGAAAGGAGTTAGTTGTGAGTGAATGTGACCAAGGACTATTATATATACTTGAAATTTTCAAGAATAAAATAAAAACATGGATAATGCAGTTAATATTAAGATAAAAGATGAACATATTTATTTACATTTATTCATTTTATATATTGTTAGGGTGAATATACCATATAGATTGGCAAGATGGAGTAGGCAAAACAAAATCTGAGAATATAAAAAATGGTACTGAAATGGTAGCTATAAATAATGCTCAATGATTTTTTTTAAAAAAGCACATACTCTTCTATATTCCCATCTGCTGTGGTAAAAACCTTCTGTAATGATGTCTGAATAAGGCACTGATCTGTAAGTAGAGCAGAACGTCATTATAAATCATTTTATCAATACATGTTTTTTTTTTTTCTTTTAGACCAGTATTATTTGGATTTGCCCTGGGTCCTTGGACTCTCTAATGTCAGGATCTTGGTCACCCAAAGAGTATCAGATATGGGTTCCATCTCATGGAGTGCATCTTAAGTCAAATCAGTTATTCATTGACTAGTTCCACACACTTTGTGCCACCAGTGCCCTAGCATATATTGCAAGGAGGAACATCATTGTAGATAAAGAATTTGTAGTTGTCTTGCTGTCATGTTTCTCTTATACAAGCACCTTCCTGGACCAGATACTGGAAAGCAAAGGTGAAGGCTCTATATACAAATGAATTATACAAGTGTTGTCTTCATCAATGAGACCATGCTTTCAGTTTGTGGAGAGTAATCTATAGATTTTGCCACAGCCTGGGTTTTTTTGGGGGGGTACCATGGGCCCTCTTGGGCCAACAGCACAGCTAGATGTGACCCAAACTTGCTACTGCAAACTTCATTTGGAGACAAGAGATGGACACTTGGGACTCTGTCTCCCCCATTCTTTGGAAATTTCATTTAGATCTCCTTACATGTGTATATTTTCGAGAAGTTTCTCTTCTATTAATTTTCCATACCACCATTCAGATAATCCTTAAACTTAGCTTTGTTGTAAGGATTTTGCTGGCTGGTCAAGGTGGCGGTCTCCCATGGCCTGGAAGCTTATCTCAGTGGTTTGGCAACCTTGGAAACTTCCTCCCTCTCCAGCAGATCTTCTTGCTCCTACCTGTTCTTCTCTGGAGAATGTCACTTGGCCTGTAGGACTGACCTTACCCTGACAGCTGTCTCTAAGCCAGATGCCTGATTTACCTTTAGCTTGAACCTTGGCATAAATTCCTGATAGAAGATTTTTGCTAGGAGCTCTGCTATAGGACCCTACTGCCTCATACAAAGTCTTGTAATTGGAGCATGCAACTTAATAAAATAAGAGTTTGTTCCCAGGTTCCCCAATCCTATATATTCCTTATACTCTGGAATAAATTTGAGCTATCTTGAAGCCAGACCCCAAGAGGAAGTCCTGAACCATGTTCCCTGTTTCTGTTCCTTCCACCCTTGTGGCCCAGTAGAGCCAAAGAACCCAAGGAAGAAGCAGGACCACATAGTTGTATCTTTCCTAATTCTCTACCATAAGTCTCTCTCTCCTCCCCCTCCCCACATGATCTACCCAGTCATGGCCTACTTCAATCCATATAGGT